CTGGCAATAAATGAAACAGTGACTGTGGCCCTGGGCATCGTCTTTGGGAGCAGAGCTGTCACCTTGGATCCCTCTGCTGATGTTCAGAGGGGACAGGGGGGGTCACTGTCCCCACCAGGGACAGCCTGTCCAGCCCAGGGAGAGGCTCACAGGGGGAGCAGGACCAGCAAAGTCCTGGGGTGCACAGTGAGGGGTGAGAGCAAGAGGGGCAGGGTGAGAGCTCAGGTGTGGGGAGAGGGATCAGAACACTGGCGAGGGGGACACAAAGGGGTGAGGGTGAACAGACAAAAGACCAGGGAACGCTGTGCACAGAGAACAAGGACGGACGGGTGGGACTGGGGACACGGCGAGGGGCTGGAGGGCACGGAGACGGACGGGAAGGCAGAGTGAGGGGCTGGAGCGCACGGCGAAGGGCGCCCGGCGGGGATGCCGGGGGGAGCAGGACGGGCCGGGACACCCCATCCCGGGGGGAGGCGGTGCCGCCGCCCGCTCCTCTCCCCTCGCCGTCCGGAGCGGGCAGCCCGGGGCCGCCCCGCGCCTTTAAAGGCTCCTCCTCCGGCGCGGAGGGGACCCGGCCCCGCCGGTCCGCCCCGAGGGCTGCGCCGGGAGCGCGGCGGGGAGCGCACGGCGGGGCGCGGGGCCGGCGCCCCCAGCCCGGCGGAGATGAGCCCCCTCCCCGCGGGCAACGGCAGCGCCTGGGGGGGCTCCGGCAACTGCAGCGGGGCCGGCAGCCTGGGCCGGCAGTGGGTGCTGGGGGCCGCCCTCAGCCTCACCGTCCTGGTCATCGTGGCCGGCAACTTGCTGGTGATCGTGGCCATCGCCAAGACGCCGCGGCTGCAGACCATGACCAACGTCTTCATCACCTCGCTGGCGTGCGCCGACCTCATCATGGGCCTGCTGGTGGTGCCACCAGGGGCCACCATCCTGCTGAGCGGCCACTGGCCCTACGGCGCGACGGTGTGCGAGCTGTGGACGTCGCTGGACGTGCTGTGCGTCACGGCCAGCATCGAGACGCTGTGCGCCATCGCCGTGGATCGCTACCTCGCCATCACCTCCCCGCTGCAGTACGAGGCGCTGGTCACCAAGGGCCGGGCGCGGGCCGTGGTGTGCCTCGTGTGGGCCATCTCCGCCTTCATCTCCTTCCTGCCCATCATGAACCACTGGTGGCGGGACGGGGCGGACGAGCAGGCGGCGCGCTGCTACGACGACCCGCGCTGCTGCGACTTCGTCACCAACATGACCTACGCCATCATCTCCTCCACCATCTCCTTCTACGTGCCCCTGCTCGTCATGATCTTCGTCTACGTCCGGGTCTTCGCCGTGGCCACGCGGCACGTCCAGCTCATCGGCAAGGACAAGGTGAGGTTCCTGCAGGAGCCCCCCAGCCCCACGTCCCGGAGCAGCCGGAGGAGGCGGCCATCCCGCCTGCTGGCCATCAAGGAGCACAAGGCGCTCAAGACCCTGGGCATCATCATGGGCACCTTCACTCTCTGCTGGCTGCCCTTCTTCGTGGCCAACATCATCAAGGTCTTCTGCCGGCCGCTGGTGCCGGACCAGCTCTTCCTCTTCCTCAACTGGCTGGGCTACGTCAACTCAGCCTTCAACCCCATCATCTACTGCCGCAGCCCCGACTTCAGAAGCGCCTTCCGCAAGCTGCTGTGCTGCCCACGCCGCGCCGACCGCCGGCTCCACGCCGTCCAGCAGGACCTGCAGCGCTGCCCCTGCGCCTTCAGCCCCCGCGGGGGCCCCCCAGAGGACAGCAAGGCGGCCCTCGGGTGCCCCGGGGAGGACGGGGAGGGTCGGGGCAGCGGCAGCCGGACAGAGGAGACGTCCTTGGCCCAGGGCTGTGGCCACCGGCAGCGGCCGCTGGGCGAGTCCCGGCTGCAGGGCACCCAGACCACGCTGTGCTCGCAGCTTGATGAGTAGGTACCGGCTCGGGGGGGCTCAGGGCATCCAGCCTTTGGGGAGTGACTGGGAGGGCTGTCAGTGGTGGGTCTACGGTCTGACAGCGCAGTGCAGAGCTGCAGGGCAGGCAGACCCTGGAGCTGGGGGGGCAGGCAGACCCCGCGGTGCACGGGAGAGGTGCTGGGGTGTGGGACTGGGAACCACTGTCCTCTCCCTTTATGTTCCCCTAAACCCCAGGCCCCTCCACGAGGATGCAAAACTGGGGTCCCAGCCAGTCTCACCCCAGCCTGCCAGGACAGATTCTGCTGTTCCTGGGTAAAGGAAATGCTGGTTGTGATCAGGGAAGCAAACCAGCCGAGCAGGAATGTGTCCTAAAGCCTGGGATTTCTCCCTTCTGACCCTGCTCCCACTTTCTGCTGCTAAAGAAGGAAAATGCAGGAACCCCCTCCAGAGTGAGGCACCAGGGCTGCTGTCGCCAGCCTGGGCTCTGTGGGTCTCTTTGCCCTCCAACAGTGTAAATCTGGGAAGGGAATTCATTTCATCCCCCTCTGTCCCTCGGTGAGAGGTGGGCTCCCAGAGCTGGTGGCCTGCTCAGGGCAGGGGGCTGGCAGGAACACCCCTGCTGTGGCTCTGCCCTGCCAGCACCCTGACACAGGTTTTCACCTCCAAATTACAGGGTGGGGGTTTTCCACCCTGAGGGTTTTTTTTATTAGTATGATGAAACTGGAGTTATTGTGGTTACTGTGGATTTTAACCGTGTTTCTCTGGTCAAAACCCATCCTGATGCCTGAGGGCAGGAGAGATTCCTGCCAGCAGAGATGTGCAGAGAGGGGTGCCAGAGGTGCTCCCTGGGATTCACCCGTGCTGAGAGCACGGGGTGGTGAGTGGTGGGAAGGGTTTGGGCTCTCACCCGCTGTGCTCTATTCCAGGTTTGCCGGCAGAGACACACCCGCGGGTCCGTCCGTCTGACCGGGAGCAGCCGAGAGCCGGGAGGAGAGTGAGTGTTTCCCCCGGCCGGGCCATCACCCCTCCGGCCTCTCCTCTGCCCTCCCCGGGGAGTGCAGCCCGCGGCCAGCCCCTTGTGCGTGGTGCTCCTGGATCCCCCTCCGTGCCTGCTGGGGTGGTGGCCGTGGGTCCCTGTCCCCAGCCGAGCCCGGTGGGTGACCCTGTGTCACTCCCACCCTCTTTTTGCAGGGCTGGGGATGGAGAAGCAGCACCAGGGGTGACGGTGCTGGAAGGACCCTCCGGTGCTTGCACTGACCTGGAGAGGAGGGGGATCTTCCTCGGGAATGCTGCTGGTTTCGGGACAGCACTGGCTCCTCTGTGCCATTGGTGCTGGAGACCTGGAGCTGGGGAAAAGCTCTGGAGCTGCTTGCCCAGGGGCAGCACAGCCTTGGGGATGTGTGGGCAGGGGACAAGCTCCCACCCGGAGTGTTCCTGGCATGGCTGGCAGTGGGACGTGGACACTGACAGTGGGATGTGGATGCTGGCAGTGGGATGTGGATGCTGGCAGTGGGACGTGGAGACTGGCAGTGGGATGTGGACACTGGCAGTGGGATGTGGAGACTGGCAGTGGGATGTGGACACTGACAGTGGGATGTGGATGCTGGCAGTGGGATGTGGACACTGGCAGTGGGATGTGGAGACTGGCAGTGGGATGTGGACGCTGGCATTGGGATGTGGACGCTGGCAGTGGGATGTGGAGACTGGCAGCTCTGCTCTCTTGAAGGATGAACGGCCCAGTCGCCCTGGGCTCGACCAGCTTCAGACAGTCCATCTGGAAGGGAGGAGAGCCTCCTGCATGCACAAACCCTCCCAAGGATTTCCATCCCTGCCCTAGCTGCTGCATTCCAGGGCTGGGTGCGATCCCGGGAGCTGAAGTGATGCCTTAGGCAGAGGAAGGGCTCAGGGGAGTGAGGGGAGCTCTGAGAACAAAAGACTTCCCAAACCAGGGAATTATGACCTTGTCAGGTCTCCTCCAGTTCCTCCCTCTCATTTGGGGCAGGTGTCCCTGTCTGTGCTGCTCGGGGATGGGATGGGAGGTGGATTCTTGTCCCACACGTGCACAGACATGCCCTGCCCACCCCATGTGAGTTGGTGTAAATAAGTCACAGTGACTGTACAGGTTTTGTCCTGGTTTGTCTCTCCCCTGCTGTGTGAAATAAACCTGTGAATCTCTGCGATGCCTCCAAGTCCATCCCAAGCAGAGGGGTGCTGCTCCATGTGCTCCTGGGGGGCTGCCTGAGGCTCAGGGGGTACATCCCCCTTTCCAGGGGCTGCACCTGGCAGAGAAAAGCCAGGCCCTAGGCATGCCATGATGCCAGCCCCCAGCCCTGCCACACGTCCTCACACCCTGAAAGGGCAGGCAGAGCTGACAGAGGTGCCCAGTGCCACCTCCTGGTGCCAGGGAAATCCCAGCTTCTGCACGGGAACCAGGGTGCCACAGGGTCTGTCCTGCTGGGATCCCTCCCTGGTGTGTTTTGCTTTTAACACCCTGCAAGGATGAAATCACTAAATAAAGAGAATAAAAGCAGCTCGTGGCAAGTGTAGCCATCTCAAAGCCTCAGACCCCAGTCTGGTAGCTCTGGTGGCTCTCAGGGGGCTCATTTCTGATCCCAGCAGCTGTCCCCAAGCACAAACAGGTTCTGTGCCCCCCAGCCCCCTTGGCCTCATCCTCCCACGCAGTTTAAAGCAGCCCACGAGGTGTTCTTTACCCCCCTCAAGAGCCCAGTGTCAGTGAGTGACTCCCCAAACAGCAGAGGCAAGGGGGGGCTGGCCCAGGGAATGGGGGCCCAGGGAATGGGGGCCCAGGGCTCTGCAGGTCCCCCCTGGCAGGACTGGTGGCCTCATCTCTAATCAAGCTAAAGGGGGCTCAGATGGGCTGTAGGTGCTGCTGGGGGGGTGTGAGGGGTTGGTGGGTGCATTGGTGTCACCTGCACTGCATTCCCAGCTTTCACCTCCCTGGGATCCCCCTTCCCTTTATCAGCAGCCGGTGCCGTGGCAGGTCCTTGCTGCTCTCTGGGTGCTGTTTTCTCTGTTTTCTCTGCTGTTTGTCCCACGTGAGCTGGTCAGCGGTGTCAGATCTGCCGTGGGCGATGGACACCTCGCTTCCCTTCTCCCGCTTGCTGTCGGAGGAGCAGCCCGTGGCTGAGCTGTGGGGTAGGGAGCTGTGAGCCCCGGGGTGCGCTGGGGGCACCTGGTGGCAGGAGCGAGTGGGGGGACAGTGGCTGTGCTCTGCAGGCAGCCAGGCTGG